TACTCAAACTCTGCCATTTATTGTTAACCCTGTCAGTGTCCTTAAATATGTATAATGTTATTGTAAAGTGAGGAAAATGTTTGTTGCCCTGTGGCAACATTGTGCAATAGAGGGTTAACTTGTATTTTTGGCCATTTTATAAAACATTATGTGATCCAACATCAGAAACCATATAATATGTCTACTTGAGGCTATTTGGATAAGTGTATGATGATCAGGCAAGCAAGCTTAAAGAAGAAACTAAAGAAGCAAACACCTCTTTGGACACCTCTGGTCAACACCCTTGCTCAAATGACATGCTTTATAGATTTTGTACATGAGAATAAGTTAATAACACATCCTCTACTGGACACAAACTAAAATATGGCTTTTTTCTGCGAATTTTAAGGCATTAGCTGGTCAAGCTATAACTGAATGTCCTCTTAAGCAATGCATACACTGTCCATTTTTAGAATTTTTTTCCTGGTGATTCACACTGTATGTTTGAATAGACCACTGTGTATGGACAAAGGCTACGATTTAAATGCTCACACTGTAGCCACCGACAGGCTATGAGGAAGGCAGCCTCTACAGAGAGCTGCCTCTGTCAATGAAAAATGATCAATAAAGCTGTTACCTTCAAAATAACACGCTGCATGTTGGAGTACTGAAGAAACTGAGCTATAGCAGCTCAGCTAACTGAAACCAAAAGCAGAAAGTGATGTACATGGACTATACGGTCTCTCTACAGTCGGTTTTACAAAGACAATTTTAAAATATCACTGTATTAACATTTATATCTCGTATAATTTATACCATTGTGTTTAGTGAAACAGTGTAAAGTTGGTATATAGGGACATCGGGCCTCGTTCACCGACATCCTTCTAAGTTTGTTCTTAAATGTGTTCTTGAGAAAAGTCCGAAGAATACGTCTATGTCAGATTCATGACGTGTTCTTAAACCACAGAATTGTTCACACCTTTGTGCTCTTGAGTGTGTGTAGATTCTGTTCTTACCTAAGACCAAATCCCAAATAAGAAAACATTAGTGAGTGTCAGAATCTTCATGAAAACTCTGTAAGTGGGTTTTAAGAAGAAATTCATTCTTAAGGACGGTTGGTAAATGAGGCCCTTTGTTAGCAAATGTTGACTTTTTCGCCATGTTGTTAGCCTCTGTGTATCCACTTATTTTGGGGAAGTGGTGGTAATTGTGTTTTTGTGTTTAAAAATGAGCTCAAATTGCCCATTGCAGGTCTGGCAGGAATTGGCCAAGGCAGAATGTTTAAAATGACAACTTTGTGTTTGACTGCCACAGTTCAGCAACACTTATCTGTGTGAGCAGACCCTCATTAATGCATGTTTTTATTGATATGGCAACGTAGCCTTAGCCTACATCACGTATCAGGTACCCACTGTTATCAGATATTAGCATTGGTGCATTTTTGTAAGTAGCAGTATGAGTAAATGAGCATGGCATCTGGCTGATACCCAATACCACCATCAGAATCAATGCATCCCTAATATTGATGAAGATATGATGACAATAGTAGATCAACCACTCATATTCTCTCAGTTGGTGTCCCTCACCAAGTTTTGAACGAGTTCCCTTTGAAACTCCTTTAACACTTCTGCAATCATCCAATTTATCGGCTGGGGGAAAGGGTCTGAAGCACAACCAGTGTTTGAAAATGTTCTTCTGCATGTTATGTGCAATTACACATTTCCACCGGAGAGGTCTCCAAATGCCGACATTTTAAAAAACGTAGCTTTTAAGTTCATACATGCAAAAAACAGTCAAAAAGCTCAGACCATACTATCTAAAAGACCAGTCTGGCTGAAAGAAAGAGGGAATAAGTGATGAAAATGTATTTCTCCCTAGTAGGGTTGGCAGCTATCCCAGGTTAATGTGCTTCACTCTGCGGTAAAAAGACTAACACGGATGGGAAACGACGTGTCAAATCCGACAACAATAGCCATACATCTTCAAAGGTATTTGAACTGCTGTCCAAGCAAACAATTAGATCACTGAAATATTTCATATTCAGTTTCATATAAAATGTTGCAGTGAAGTCTGCAGTGATAATAATAGCAGAGCCAGGAGTGTGGACCAGCTGGAGGGGGAGTTCTCCCGCCAAAGCAGAGATCAAAGTGCAAGGATTAGCAGGCTCCAGATGAGTGGGCAGAGCTACACTGTAAAGGGAAAAATGCTCCCTCATATATTATGCATGCCGGCAAAACACAGGCCATGTCTCAAGCTGCCTGACCCATGTTGGAACCCTTCCTTCTGTTTGTACAGGGCACTGCCAGGCCAATCTCTCAGCCCTTGAACTTCAAAACCCAACCTTCTGAACTTTGTCTGTGGACTACATCTCCCAACTCCCTTACATGACAATCAGGGAGAGATAGCCTGCCCTTCCACTGCTGAGTGCATCACAAAATGCACCTACATCATTTAATATCTCCCGGGACACATAATACCCCTTGATCTTTTCTTTGAATTACATGTTTCATGTCTGTTAAGATTAAAACCTCTATGTAGACGCATTCAAAGGTTAATGGTACCTGTGCTAGCCTGCAGACTATCAGCATTCTGAGCTGAGCAGGGCTTATACACGGTCATAATTCAATGGAAGCTGTATGCGGATAAAAGAAACCCATAAATGAAATGGCTTATAGGTTTCATGCATGGGTTATGCAGGAAAAGTCATAAAAAGTGACCACTTCCATTCATTTTAGTTGTGCCTGCATTCATTCTGCAGAGGCTTGGCTCAGAGCTATATAGCTAATGTGCAGAAAGAAAATCATGAGGTCAGCATGTATGTTTAGATCCAGTGATGACCTGAGCTGTAAATGGTCCATAAGATGTGCAAAGATATGATACAGAAATGTGCAAAAACTCAGAGACCACCCTTTGCAGCCAAAATAAGCATTAAGTAAAAGCTATTTCTGAGCAGATTAGACAAAAGATGGTCCAGTTGCATAATGAAGGGTAAAGTCTAAATAAGATAAGTGAAAAAAACTGGAGTTTCCAGAACTGGAGTTCAAAAAATGATTAAAAGATTCAGAGAAAATGGGATTTCAACCATGCAAGAACTGGCAGACCACCAAACTGTCACTATCAGTGGCAACCCTAGAGTCCAGACCTCAACATCACTGAATGTGTTTGGGATGGCTTGGATCATAACAAGCAGAAGACACAACCAACTTCTAAGACTGAACTTTGGACATGAACTCTATATATGGTATAAGTTTGCTACTACGGCTCCAAGAGATCCAATACTTATGCTAATTCTGCCCCTTAGCTAATACCATCATATTCTCCAAACTGGTACACATTTGTTTCATCCATAATCATATCAAATTCAAGCATGTAAACAAAACTGACAGCCATGCTTTTCTTAAACACCTGCTACTTACTTGAGCAAAGAAATAGCTTTTGGCTAACAACAAATGAAAATTAATATGAATCAGCTTGCATGATTTATTTGTATAGTGCTAAATGGCACTACATGTTTTTTTTTTAGCAACATTAGCTTGTTTTGGGGTGAAAGCAGCTTACAGGGGAAAGCTATTCAGGCTTGTGGCCTGAAAATGTCAGTTGCTTTGAAGTTTTGAAATGTTTGAAATGTCTGCCACCTTTAGAAACGCACCAAGAACCTGCTCTACTAACCCATAGCTAGTCCTTCAGTGAAAACATTATATTCTAGCTGTTGCATGACTAAGTCATGCAAGTGAAGAACAAAAATATGTTTAGCATTAGAACTAGATATGAGACAATCCATGAGATAAGAAACCTCTCATTATCCACTCTACTTGTAATGATTGTGCTGTGACTCTTCAAAGTGTTTTTTCCAGTGTTTTATTGGCTTTAGTTAGCAAGGCCATAAGTCACTATAAGTCTGTCTTTATTTAACCTCCTAAAGCTGTTGTCATGACTTTTAAGGTCAGTTTTGGAAATGTCATTTACTTCAGACTAAGAGGAATTTCATAAATTTTCAAAAATGATGCATCGTTCAGTCAAATTTGATGTGAAATTGTTTATCATAGTGAAACTTACAGACTCTGATTTCTTTCAAATGGTGGTAATAGGAACCAGGGGTCACAATGTCTGCCCAAATGTAGTCCAGCTATCCAAAATGACCAGTGAACCTACATGTTTCTTGGAAAAAAATTATTTGCAAAAAAAATAAATAAATAAAAAAAAACAACAACAAAAAATTGGCCTAAATGTTAGAATTTAGAATTTTAGTTTTCAGAACCATTGACCAATTGTGCTGGCACACAGAGGAATCTGGCCTCCCCATGTAATCCATCCGTGCAATCACACTCCCACATACAAACACACACACGCACACTAGTGAACGCACATACTACGGGGCAGTGAGCACACTTAACCAGAGCAGTGGGCAGCCCTACCCAGCAGCAGTTAGGGGTTAGACGCCTTGCTCAATGGCACTTCAGTCATATCCTGTTTTTTTAAATCTTATCAAAAATTAATGTCTTCATCTGGCAACATATTTGTACCCATTTCATGTAATAACTTTCTGTGAGGTAACTTTTAGAGGCATTAAACCCTTTGGACGTCTGGTTCCTATCACCACCACTGTGAACGATTCTGACTCTGTACGTTTCTCTACAGTTGACTATTTTACATCAAACCACTATAAATGACTTTGTTTACATCTTAACGACTTATTGAATTATACAGAGATGTTTAAATATTGTCACAATTCCTCTGTAGTTTGGGAAGCTCGCTCCTATTGTCAAGTCATAGACAGTCATCTCATGTTTTAGGCATTGATATTTACTGACTATTATCAAACCGCACAGCTCACAGCAACATCTAAGTCTTTGCCACAGGCCACATAAAAGGGCATTTTTGATCACTTGGTCCTTGTTCTATTATTACATTTGAAGGTTATGAACTATTAATGCACAGACAGATAAATAATGCACAACTATGGTAAAAAGTGAAGCCCCATTATAGTGAGATTTGAGGAGAACATCATGATTTAAACATACGCGTCTTCCGGGCGGAATCTTCCACAAAGAGAGAAGAGATGTCCTCATCCACGCCGGCTTCATTACGGGCGATGCAGGTGTACGCGCCAGTGTCCTCAAAGTGAACGTTGCTGATGTGCACTTCGCTTCCATTTGCTGTTGTTTTTTTTAGGAAAAGAAAAGAACAGAGCAAAAAGGACAACTTAAAAAAGGTGCGACTGAAAAACGAATAGATATTTTCCTCCAACAACTCCACTGGACCCCTGTCTACACACTGGAACTGCAGCAATTCCATTTCTGTTAGCCTCTCTAATAGGACATTGAGAGTGTTTTTGATAGCGGCAGAAAAATTCATGTTGTTCCCGAGTTGTCACATTGGGTTTGGTTTGAAAGGCAGGCGTTGTGGAGGAGGACTGTTTCTGTTGATGATAGCCCCACTGGGAGGATTCCTGATGTGAGAAAAGGCTCTAGATCCTGACAAACATGCCTGTCTTTCATACCCGTGAGGTGCTAAAGCACTATAAATGACTTAGACAGACATTAGCCATTAGCCATTAGCTAATGTGAGGGATGTGGGGGAGGACATATTAAGTATCAAAAAGCACTTGCACAGCTTAGCAAAACTTCTTTGTTGTAGCTGGTCCTTGAACAGGAAATAAATATGACTTTCCAGTGTTGGGATACATGCAAAAGTATGACCACCCCAGTCAAATTACATGTTTTTCATTCAATTGAAAATAAGTTAACACAAATACTGTTTTTTGGAGTTTAACAATAAAAAATAATAATAAAAATAAAATGTGCCATACAAAACAAAATTTGACCAGGGGCACATAAACCTTTGCATATGACTATAGTTCTTTAAACTGGAAACAAATCATGATTTATTTTTGAAGATCTCTTTAGGAAGCAAATAAGATTTAAGCTCTATAGAGAATATTTGGTCTCACATTAAACAGAAACTAGCTCAGCAATGTTTTTCCAGCTGTTTGAAGCCGTAAATGCTTAGTGTATTAATACTGGCTCTTTTCTATAAAAGGCTTTCTGCAAGTTTACCCAAAATACAAATGTTTACAGATGTTAAAGTGAAAAGCTATCCTACACTAAGTTACTTTATACATTTATTTAATTCTTGCTAATGTACTGACTAGTAATTTGTTGTTAAGACCATTAAAAACTTAAAGGTTTGCCACTTTGTGATTGGACCCCTTTTGTGATATCAAAAAACCAATGAATTCATAATCGGCTGTTTTGCAGCTTAATTTCCATTTTCCAACTGTTTTCTCTAGAGTGGAGAGTGAAATGAATGCTTTGAAACTTTCACAATGTTTACACACTACATCAAACTCTGTGGGTTTGCATCCTTCATTGTTTGACTGCAGTGCTAAAATATACAGCAATAAAATCATTAATGAATTGTGAATGCTGTGCTATAATTGGCATATCAGGGCTAACAGTGAGATCATTCCATCTATCTCTTCTACAACCAAACACTCTGATGGGTGGAATTATTTGAAAGGATGGAAACCAAACTCAATATACCTGGGGGCCACCTAGGTGGTCTTTTCAAAGGATGCCCAGTTGAAAAAGTGCAAGGAGCATCACAGAATTTTGAGTATGGATCTTAACTATATAACGTGCGCTTGTTTAAGTGCAGCTTAGTCAATGTTTATAAGTAATTCTTTTGTCATCACAAAAAACCCTACTACTACATCTACTACACTTATTAATATTATTATTTAAAAGTATATTTTTGTTATTATTATTAGCAGTAGTAACAAAATACCAAATCAAGTAAACTTACATTTTACACTATAATTATATGAGATGTTTACTGTGATAGTATCATCTTTCCTGCTGAACACAAGTGAAATTATTGTGTGTGAAGTGTAGGCAAAGTGGTTTAATCTGCATTCTCAGTGGATTCATTTGATATATCCATTTATTTATTAATTCTGATCAGTTGTATCTACTGTTCTGTCATGAATGAATCCACAAAGGCAGCTTTAACTAGCTATCAGTCTAGTTAGCTAACTAGTTAGCTTAGCTAGTTTGAGCTAATAGCCATGCTTTATCAGGTTTTCATTTGAATAGTTTCTCAATTTCTTTAGCTTATGTTGGGTAGCTATCCATCTGATGTAAATATTACAAATATTTTGACATATATATATATATTCAGATGTAAATATTATGCAACAGAAAAAAGATTTATGGGACAAATGTAAGGGTAAATTGTAAACATGTAATAGACCACATAAACCTGTCCAGCCTGAAGGCTAGTATTGTCGCTGTCTAAAGAAAAACAAGTATCTCCAAAATTGTAACTTTACAGGAGAAGGTAAAAACACTCTTACCTTGCAATGTAAGTTTATGTAAAGAGATCTTATTCAAAGTTATTTAAGAGCATTTCTATTGCTCCATTCATTATTTTCACACAACGTAAAGGACAGCTGGTGTGTTGGAATGATGTAGAAAAATAAAAAATTGACATTCTGTGAGCCTGAACTGGGCTTTGTGGCAGTGGTGACAAGAATGTAGTGACCATAGCTTCCTCACCTTGCAGTGTGAGCTGTTTGGAGAGTTTGGTGGCAATGTCCATGCCATTCTTCAGCCAGGACAGCTGTGGGTCAGGAATGCCCTCAGCATGACACCTCAAACTGGCAGTGACCCCAGGCTCCCGTGCCTGGCTCTCAGGGTACACCCGGATAACTGGGGGAACTGGGGGAGAGACAATAAAAGAGAGAGATTCAGTGAATGAGTGAGCAAGTGAGCATGTGAACAGTGCACGAGTAAGTGAGCAAGAAATGAATGAGGCTTCATGGCCTCCTGGTTGCTGAGCGTGAAAGGAGAACGAAAGCCTCTTTCTGGGACGGGAAGCCAAGCTCATTTAGAATTCCCATCACACACGAGCGCGGTATCAATGACACGGCGAAAGCTTTCCAACATCCTGTGTGTGGCACCAAATCGGCTCTGTGTGCTCACCAGCGCAGCAGCAGCCAAACAAATGAGCTAGATAAATAGTAAAGAAGCCTGTTGTTGAGGAACCATTGATTTTTTTGAACTGAGGACCATTGATTTCAGGAGCTTTCTTTCAGGAAGAGAGGTGCACAGGGGACAGAGGAAGCAAAAAGCAGAACAATTAATCATCTTTCCTTCCTCTAACAGGGTCCCTTTGTATGAACTCTTCCTCTTCCGAAAGAGAAAAGTCATTTGGAAGTTAGGGTCATGGTGTGGTGGCACCTCAGGAACTTGGCAGTCGTTTAATGAAACGTTTGCAAAATGGGCCCAAAAGCAGGAGGCTGGTGCAAGAGTGTCCAAACTTTTTTTGTGATCAATTTTTTATTCTGTTTTACAACAAGTTGGGGGAAGGCAGGGAAGGCAGGACGGTGAAATACATTGTTAGGAAAACACACATATCAAAGATAAGGCAATACAAAACAAACAACCAGACAATAATCATTGCGTAATATGGTACCACTTTAGAATAAGACTGCCCTTATAAGTGGTTTATGAATTGCTTAAAATTGGTTTATTAATGGTTTATCTACACACCTAAAATGATGGTTCTTTAAGGGTTCTTTAGTAAAGAAATTTGTTCTATATAGAACCATGAACACTCAAAAAACCCTTTGTATGATTAAAGGGTTCTTTGCATCATGAAATGGTTCATCAGATTGATGGAGAATAGAACCTTTTTGAAAAGGGTTCTATATAGCATCAAAAAGGGTTTTTCTATGGTAACAAGCCTGACATTACAACAATAGAGGAACCTGTTTTGGTGCTATTTAGAACCCTTTTCAGCACATTTTTCAGTAATCTGAAGAATGCTTTCATGGTGCAAAGAACTCTTCAATCATGCAACAGGTACATCAAATGTTTAAGGTTCTATACAGAACCATTTTCTTTACTAAAGAACCCTTAAAGAACCATAATTTCTAAGTGTGTATATAAATGAATGTGGGTTCACTATTAGGCAAATAACAGATCACTTTTGCCTTTTTGTGTGTTATAACTGCTTATTAATGATTTTTTAGGTGTTTATGGCCTAATTAATAACCATTAATAAGCTGATTTTAAACCATTCATAAACGTTTTATAAGGGTGGTCTTATTTTAAAGTGGTACCCATAATTTAGTTAGAAACTAAAATTCTTCAATAGAGTCACATAAATTCTCCCAATTACTAATTGTTGACTGTTTTGCTTTGCTAAGCTTAGCTGTAAGATATTTCATTCAAACTACATTTTGAAAACTAGATACCTAGAATTTCATAGCTTAAAACTGTGGGACATTCCAAGGTGGTAAGACAGTTTTGGTAGCTGTAAAACCTACCATTAGCATTCTTTGCTGAATCAACCAAAACGAAGGGTTGTGTCATCATTTAAAACACATTGAAACATTTCTTGAAACCCTTAATTCAGCTGGTAAGTAAAACTGTGTTGTAGTAAAGTAGCAAAATTCTGTTCAAATTGAGGATTCTCAACGTTAAATCAATATCCCATTTGTGATTGCAAGTAGACAATGATAGCATTTAATATGATTTAAATTGGCTTTTTCATGCTCTGCCAACAAATGTGCTTTTCATAACAGTTGTTGCCTACCATGTTTCATAGAACTTTGCCAAAACTTGAGGTGCATGTTGACTGCCTCCCAACTCAAAAGAGCCAGAGACTTAAGACTCATCAAATTTCAGTATGGCAAAAAGGAAACAAATAAATAAATAATAAAGGAGTCTAGATAAATGTTTAAATCAAACTTGTGCATGTCACCTGTCAGGTTTGCTACGGTTATAGTTACTCGTTAGGTAGTGTTGTTCTCCCGCAGCTCACATCAGCGTCATATTTAACATTTTTTTAAATTTTAAATAATAAGCCTTTCATTATAGAAAACCTTCAGTCTGAAGCATTACATGCAGTAAATGCTGTGTTTAAAGGAATAACATAAACCAACTTGGCTAGGATGTAGTTTGGAAAGTAGGTATTCTAGCTAGCACAATAGCTCATCTAGCTGCAGTGTGTTGAATTAGGGACCACATTCCTTTAAAACTTACTAAAACTTCAGCTGGATTAGTTACTGCTAGTTGTGACTCATCCATTATGGGTGCTAGTGCTCGTTACCATGAGCAAAAAAGGATAACCATATTGAAACATAACTTTTTCCACTAAATATTTTAATTTTTGTTTGACGAGTGAGAATCTGACTGTAGTGTTAAAAAAATAAATACAAGTTTATTAATCGTATTTACAACAGCTAGAGGATGCGACAGTGTTCACTGTCTTCGAGCTGTAGGAAGCTGAACATATCAGTTGTGGATTTTCCATCCATGCACTGCTGTTAGCCAATCAGGAGTGCAGAAAAATACTGGAGGAAACACCACTGACCAGTCAATTTTGACTTCTTGAAGTCATTTCGAAAACTTATATGTTCAGAAGAGATAAATCATGGACAAAGACCAGCTTTGGTGAGTATAAGTGGTAAGTTTGTTCCAATATTGAATGCCAAAAACATTAACGCAGCATGGCCTAGCCTTATGGGCATGTTTTGATTTTAAGGAAGGATATGTCAAGAGCCCTGAAGTTGAAGACCAAAGCTGGCGTGCAGGTGTATAGTGCAGAGGTATGAGGAGTTGAACTCTTTGAAGCCTGAAATGTGGGAAGCAGAGCTTCATCTCTGTTTTTTACCTCCACATGAGGCCACTGGAGTGATATCTGTAGAGAACTTCGGGAAGTTAAGGACCCATTCTGAATGCTGAAGATTTCTGCCTCTATTAGCTTCCACACTCAGAAGCTTTATTGATATACACCAGAGGTCACTAATAGGCAGACTGCGGTCCGAGTTCGGACCCAGGTGCTGTCCTATGTGGACCTGGACCTTTAACCGACAAGCTATGGAGAATTATTTAATTTCGACAGGCTGCTCCTATTTTGATCGGCGTAGCTTTTCTAGCCTTTACGGTACTGCTTTAGCGGCCCGGGAATCTCACAGACCAATCACATGTGTTGTAAATATCACACGTGACACTGCTCAGCCAATCAGATGAGCACTGAGACTCGAGTGAGTGAAGTCGGAGAAGAAAGTGAGCCAGAGGAAAGTTACTTCACATAGCGTGCTCTAAAAAGAGAAAACTGCCAATAAATGTTGTTGAAATATGACTGAGTTGTACTTTATTTGATTTGACATTCAGTTGTTGACTACATCAGATGTTGATATAACTACTAGGCTACTTCAGTCTGCAGTTTATGGCACTGAATCATAATGCAAGTTAGACATTATGATGTTCTGGACCTTTGCTTGAGGGCATTTTCTGTAACTGGACCTTTTAATTAAAGACCCCTGATATACACTATACAGACAAAGGTATTAAACCCTTCCTAATTATTGAGTTCAGGTGTTTCAGCCACACCCATTGATAACAGGCGGATAAAATTAAACATATAGTCTTGCAGTCTTGATAGACTGCATTGTGCCAATTATAAAGTTTGGAGGAGGAGGGATGATGCTATGAGGTTGCTTTTCAGGGGCTGGCCTAGACCTCTTAAAGCTTCAACTTACCAAGACATTTTGGACAATTTTCTGCTTCCAACTTTGTGAGAACAGTTCTGTTCCAGCATGACTGAGCCCCAGTACACAAAGCAAGGTCCAAAAAGGCATAATTGGGTGAGTTTGGTGTGGAAGAACTTGACTGACCCACACAGAGCCCTGACCTCAACCCCATCGAACACCTTTCGGAAGAGCTAGAAAGGAGATTGTGAGCCAGGCCCTCTCATTCAACATCAGTATCTGACCTCACAAATGCTGTTCTGGATAAGTGACACACTCCAAAATTTTGTAGGAAGCTTCCCAGAAGAGTGGAAGCTGTTGTAGCTGCAAAGGGGGAGCAACTCCATATTAATGCCTATGGATTTAGAATGGGATGTCATATGCCAACACTTTTGTCCATATAGTGTAGCTTAGATAGCTAGCATTGCTTAAACAGTTAAAGCCAGTGATTTTCTTTTTGCTTAGTCAGATATTTATCTATAAATATCATCATTATATGACAAAAAAGCACCCAAGCAGTGTGCTACACATGCATTTAAAATAAAAAGTAGACAGTATTTATAATGCAAAACAATACTACAACTTTGTCTTTTGGTTGAATCTGCCAAAATTCTGCCAAGACTTCAACCTGTCAGTACAGAATGTAAACTGAACGTAAATGCAATTATGTAGCTACATTCAAATACTTACATGATCAACTACACTACAACTTCAGACATCGAAGGATTAAAGCACTTGTGCGGTAACTCGTCTTCAGCTGTGGACCTTAAGACCCTATCTGACACATACAGTGATGGATTCTGTGCAAAGCCAAGGTCAATGTGAAGAGTGCCAGGTCTGGCAGCTTGCCAGGTCACTGCACAAAGGCACAGGTATACCTCAGACAAGTGTGTGAGCAGGCGGGACGTATGATATTGAATGTGACGTGTAATGCTGGCTCTGAGTTGACAGATGTATTATTGTCAGCTCTAATTGAGGCCAGCGAGGAGGAGAGTGTGGCAGACTGATGTATTAGACTGAGGACATTTAGAGGGGAGCGTGTGCTTCCCTTTTTTTTTCTTCGCTGTGTGTGTGTTAGACAGCGACAGTAGGGGGTGAGTACATCCTCTGCCATCTGTTCCTGTTTCCTGTCTCCCCTAGGTGTGAGCTATGAGCTAGACAGATTGAGAGGAAGACAGT